AGGAACTATTTGAAAAATAAACTGTGGAGCATAATCTTGATATCAACTGCAATGTGACCAGAATTAACCCCAATACTAGTACAGGCTGTGACACTCTTAACCAAGATTCTCTTGGACCACAGATGTTCCAGGAGCAGAAAGTCCCAGTGGAGAGCTAGCGCATGGGACCCCTGCAGGCTGGCAGGGGAGTGGGAGATGGATGCACAGCAGTGGGGTTTCCCAGCAGGGCAGTGGGAGCTCCTTGTGTGGTAGTACGACTGCACCGTAGGAGGCAGTAGCCCGGTACATGGAGGCGATGGGGCTGCCAGGCGCTGCAGCGGGAGCCCAGTGCACGGGGCAGGCGGGGCTGCCGGGTGACAGGGCAGCGGGGGCCAGTGAGACGGGGGAGGTGGCTGGAAGGCCAGCGATCGGGCCAGCGATCGGGCCAGGGCTGGAGGGGGCTGATGTCAGAGAGGCCAGAAATGACTTCGCCTGGACGGGCAAAATCCTTGATCTAGGACCAGTCAGGTCCTAAGCATGCCGGACCAGGGAGATCCAATCTGTATAATAAATTTAAAGGGACAACATCAACTTCCAATATAGTGAATTTAAAAAGTTGGTTATAAGTAGTTTTAGGTATGTCTGCCTAGATTCCTCTTGCTTACTTTAATTTTTATACTATCACAATTATGTTTTCCTGTTTAGAACAAATATTTTTCTCTACCCTGTTTCTCAGTGAAAACCAACAAAAACAACTGGGGAAAATGATCACAGTGAAACAGCAACTATAAGACAACGCAACGTGAGGCGCTTTGACCATGAAAGTAAAACAGAACCTTGAGTGTCTATCAACACTCACTGCTACCGTATATAACATTTCTGGCATGGGAAGATGGCATTAGGAAGTATACTCCCAGCAGACGGACTGTTAGCTAGAGAGAAGACAGATCCACAGGAAGAAGAACTACTCCACCGAGAGACCGGGACCTCAAAAACTACTGCCCACCCAAATCTCCCTCTGTCAGCATTTTGTTGTTTTATTTAATGGCACTCTCCCCAAAGGGGCTCTAAGAGGAATAAGAGATTCCCCAGCCTTATGCCTCTCTCCCTAACAAACTCTTGTGTACGGGTGCACTTGAGGATAGGATAGGAATGTGTCTAATGCTGTATGTGTCAGGGTATGAAGGGACATTTACAGGAACTCTACTCCTCTTCAAGTATCTCCAGAGATTCAGATCGAGGGGTAGGCAGATAGCTCATTCACTCTTTTTCTGTCTGGGAGTTTAACCTGTGCACGATCATTTGGCCCAATAAAGCGTCTCATTACATGAATAAAGGACTCCACCCACATACTAGTAGCCAGGATTTGACCAATATTAATAAAGTTAGTTTTGTCCTAGTACTAGGCTGTGTCTAGACTGGCAAGTTTTTCCGCAAAATCATCGGCTTTTGTGGAAAAACTTGCCAGCTGTCTACACTGGCTGCTTGAATTTCCACAAGAACACTGATGATCTCATTTAAGATCGTCAGTGTTCTTGCGGAAATACTGTGCTGCTCCCGTTCGGGCAAAAGCCCTCTTGCGCAAATCATTTGTGCAAGAGGGCCAGTGTAAATAGCACAGTACTGTTTTCCGCAAAAAGCCCCGATTGCGAAAATGGCGATCAGGGCTTTTTTGTGGAAAAGCGCGTCTAGATTGGCCATGGACGCTTTTCTGCAAAAAGTGCTTTTGCGGAAAAGCGTCCTGCCAATCTAGACGCACTTTTCAGAAAATGCTTTTAACGGAAAACTTTTCCGTTAAAAGCATTTCTGGAAAATCATGCCAGTGTAGACGTAGCCCTAGTGTCCTACTAACAGCTTCAGACAGAACTTCACTAATTCACATAATTCAATAAATCAGACATGTTTGTTCCTCCAATCTATGATTCTGACATACTTTTGACACTAAGTGTTTGAGACTAGAAATGTTGTTCTTTACCAAAAGCTGTCATAAAAAAGAGAAATTACCCAATACCAAAAGCAAATAACTACTTCTAAAAGAAATGCCACAATTGTGACAATATCCATAGTAGAGGTTAACCTCCAACCTAAAGCATGATTGTTGGGGATTAGACTAGCTATCATAATTTTTCAGAAGGCATAATGGCTTGGTATGAGAGACTGCCAATTGTATCATCATACCACTGGGCTTTGATTCTCATCTTAATTTACATGTGGTTTGCACCAGAGTAAATGTCTTCAAAAGAGTTGCTCCTAATTTATACCGGTATAAGAAGAGAGTCAGGTCACGTGTCTCTAGGAAGCAAACACTCAATTTACATAATGAAAGCTTCCATTTGCAAATTAAATCTGAGGAAAATTAAAAGAAGCTGTTCGTTTCTTTTCCGAGAAGACGGTGAAGAACATGAAGCCAGCTCAATTATCAATATTGTGGCCATAGTACAACAGGCAATTTATATTATTTAGTGTAACTTACATAAACATATTTTCTCATCTGTATCATGGAAAACCTAGCTTCTGAACACTATACCAAATTAAAAAGTATCCCCCTCCTTAGCTATTGAAGTCTGACTGCCCAGTCTTTACCCATAACCCAACCATCCAAGCACCTTCTCTTTACAAGGGAAAGTGCTATAGAGGTGGCTGTCAACACTTCCTCTTAGGACAGGTATATCCAACCAGGCCTGCTGACAGTGGACAGCAGGCAAAGGGACCAATTGCTCTGGGGTCTGGGGCTCCAGCCATTGTCACAGTGGCTGGGGCCGGAGTCCCAGGCCTTTTAAATTGCCGCCGGAGCATCGAGCTGTGCGCTTTGGACAGCGCTAAGGACTGCAGTGTGGCCATAGCACTCTGTGCAGCACTGAGGGCTTGCTGCCCTTGGCTCCGTCCCTTCTACCATTGGCCCAGCCCCTTCCAGGAGCACAAAGCCATCCCACTCCACCTTTCCCAGGGACCTGCGGAGGCTGTTGGCTCTGCTGCACCTAACAAACATGGGTCCTTTCTACATGTGGATCTCAGAGAAACACTCCAGCCATTGTCCACCCCAAAAAAGAGAGAGGAGAAACTAGAACTGTTTTCTATAGAAAGACAAGAAATTAATGTCCTGCCTCTAGGAAATAAATGTCCTATTTTGAAAGTTTCAAAGGCCTGATCCCAAATTCCCTGAAGCAAACAGAAAGACTCCCATTAATGTCAATGGGCTTGGAATCAGGCTCTAAGACTGGAGCTCAAGGAAGTATCTATTTCTTAAGGGAACAGATGTTTCAAGGCTATTTGAGCTAGCGTCAGATATGGTAAAAGAAGAACAAGGGGTTTTGAGAAAGGGATAAGAAATTGCTAAGCACAAGCATAAATTATATGCAATTTCTCCAGAGAGTAATTTATGTACAGAATTACTGAGGATGTAAATTGATTTAAACACTGGATTGTGAATGTTCAGGGTTGATATAATTTGAAGACTTCACAAAATGACCTGAGATCATCTGTGTACATCTTTGAAATGGTAATTAAAAATAAAGCCAACAAAAACTCAGATCATGCCAAAAGTGCAATATTACAGTATATCTGAGATTTCTGAGCAAGAAACTGAAACTCACAAATTTCCCAGGAGCTGCTGAAGGTGAACCTGACCCAAAATGGAAGTTTGTTGTATTATAAGTATAAAATTCATACTCTTGTACGGATAGACAATTTTTGCAACAATTTTTCTTGTTATATGGCTGAGAACAATACCTTATGTGTTGACTGGCTGTTTCCGTGTAACTTTGCATCAGATGCCAAGATCTCGGTTCTGAACTAGATGCCTAGTGTCATTCAGGTACTGCAATGAGTTGAATTCTGGCCCTACTTGGCCAGCTGAGAGTTCCATTATTTGGGGTGGGAGATGGGAGGGGAATTGACAGCTGATATACAGCTGGCAGAGCTGCTTACTGCATCATATGTTCCAACTCACCCTATTACAGGAGCCATGGCAGGGGCAGGGAAGGTTGAAGGAAGGGAGCTGAGCTCTGTTGGCATGCTCTAACTCATGTCAACTCTGAATAAGGAAGCTGTAACTGATTCCCTGATACTCATACTGCTCCTGTACTCAGCATGGACCAGACACAGGAGACTTCAAGCCCCATGTGTCTTGGAATTTTCTTTTTTCACCTGTAGCTCCCTAAAATAAAATTAAAAATAAAACAAAGTAACCACCTCCTGCTGTGCCCCACCCCAATGTTTAATTACAAACTTCCACCATCTGTTCTTTTGTTGTGCTTAAAAAACTTTTGGGAAATCCAGATTCAAATCTGATTTTTCCAGCTCATCTCTAGTCACTTTTCATAAAAACTAAATTCCTGTTTTAACAGATAAAATCTTAACTCTTAATTCAGAATGAATCATTTTTCTTGTACAGCTGAAGTGACATAAAATAAATCCTGTCAAGGATGAGAACTCTTTTCAGCTTCAGACAGTACTTTACCTGCTTGCAATAGCAGAGCAAGCAAGGAAAGAGAAACTATTGATATATGCAGCCACACACAGCAGCAAATCTGGTGGTCTAATGTTGTGATGGTGGGTCACTTAGAATAAGAGCTAGGTTTTTAATATTGCTCCCTGTCTGTGAACCAATATCACATTATATGAATAGAAATGTGAGCAGTGTTATATAGCATGCTGTACAAATTAAAGTCATTCTCTAAAGACTATAGCTACCACGTTATTGAAGCATATCAATAAAACTTTAAGTATCATGATGTAAAGAAAACTCGATGTCATTCTCTAAAGACTATAGCTACCACATTATTGAAGCATATCAATAAAACTTTATGTATTGTAAAGAAAACTCGAATTTTAGCATGATTCTTGGTGTGTCACTCAGCTACTTGTTAACACAGAGAGAAGAAAAATGAAGGAGCCCTTTTCATTTCAGCTACAATGCCTTTAGAATTATACATACACACACACATATTTATATTTATGCTGATATGTGATAGTCCACATAGTTTTAAGAAATGCATAACAGATTAGATTTTAATCCCTACCTGGTAAAAATAATTCTTCTTGCATTTCTGCTCTGGCTTGTTCTGAAAAGCACCTTTTCTTCAGCCATTCAGCCTCAAATTCACTGGTGTGTTTGTCTGGCCATGTAACATATACCTTATATCATAAAATAAAAAAAAAGATGATTAACAATGGAGAGATTCAATTAAATCTGCCAGCCTGAAACCATTACCCAAGAGACCAGCAACATTCAATCTCCTTACTAGAAAAGTAATTGAAATACATTACCTGATACTTTGCAATTAAATGTCTCTTGTGGGGGCAACCTCTCCAGTTTCATATAACTGTGAACACTATCAAAAGACCATTTAAACATCACGTACATTCAAGGCCAGTATCACAACGATGAAGTGACAGGGCTTGCTGACTGGTACTGGATGCCTTCATTCCTTATCTCTGCTTCACTTAGCCATGGTATGTTCCATATGGGTCCCAGTAAGGGAAAGGAGGACACGGATAGATCATGGAGGGTAGCACTTGACTATGGGGGGGGGACGTGGAGAAAGTGACAATAGTTTGTCAGGGAAGGGGAGGACAACTTGGAAGGACTGAAGGAGCACGACAAGTGAGGAGGAGTGCCTGGGAATACTTTCTAAAACTATTTGGCTATGTCTACACTGGCATGATTTTCCGGAAATGCTTTTAACGGAAAAGTTTTCCGTTAAAAGCATTTTCCGAAAAGAGCGTCTAGATTGGCAGGACGCTTTTCCGGAAAAGCTCTTTTTCTGGAAAAGCATCCGTGGCCAATCTAGACACACTTTTCCGCAAAAAAGCCCCGATCGTCATTTTCGCGATCGGGGCTTTTTTGCGGAAAACACTACTGTGCTGTTTACACTGGCCCTTTTCTGGAACAGTTTTCCGGAAAAAGACTTTTGCCAGAACGGGAGCAGCATAGTTTTTCCGGAAAAGCACTGATGATTTTACATTAGATCATCAGTGCTTTTCCGGAAATTCAAGCGGCCAGTGTAGACAGCTGGCAAGTTTTTCCGTAAAAGCGGCTGATTTTCCGGAATAACTTACCAGTGTAGACACAGCCTCTCTGTTGGCTATGACCTATCAGATGTTCTAAAAATGACATATTCATTGCCTTTTTTTCTGCTGCAGGAAATTGATAAAAGAACAGAAGGACTTGGGCTGTAATCAGTAGTGATTCCTTATGAAGGAATAAAAAAATTCCACCCACCCGGTCTGTAGATACTGACCCCCCATTATTGTAATATAAATGATAAGTACTAAATAATTAAATAGAATGCAGAAGCTTCAACTGGAATTTGTGTCCCCCTGTGTTAGGTGCTGTACAGAGGTAGACAAGCTCTTCTCTAAAGAACTTAGTTTAATATAGGTTGTAGCTCTAAAAACCGGCACTCTCTGGTCTGGCATCATCCATGGTCCAACAGGACTACAGATACTCCTGAACCAGAGAGCCTGGGAGTCTAAGGGCAGGTCTGCCAGCTGGGTGGGGCATCATGGTCGGCAGTCCAGCTGGGGGCAGGACCGGGGCCGGAGCCCTACAGCAGTTTCCAGCAGCCCCTGGGAGCATGAGGCTGGAGCCTCGTGGCAGCATGGGCCCAAAATCCCCGCTGCAACCCCCAGGAGTGCGGGGCCAGGGCTGGACCCTGCAGCTGCTCCAGGCTGCGTGAGGCTGTAGCCCTGCGACAGGAGTCAGAATCTGTGTCTCTCAGGGAGCCAGCAGCAGCTGGGCAAGCAGTCCAGCCAGGTTTTGGGGAGGGGAAGGGGGCGAGGTAGGGTTGACTACCAGGGGCAGCCTGCCAACAGCAGGCGATGAGCTTGGAGACCACTGGCAGAAGAACTTCCCTTGTCTGGCAAATTCTCGAAAGTGCCAGACCACGGAGGTCCAATCTGTAATTATAATTCAAGCGTACGGGTAAAGTAGGTGTTTACCTTGTTTTCGGACAATTCAGAGAGACATTGCATGCTAATGGACTGGAAGCTAGGAATTCAGGAATATTAATCCTAGCTCTGTGTAGTTTGAGCAAATCAGGTCAATTATTTGAGCTTCTTCAACTGCAAAATGGGGATAATAACCCTTATTTCCCTCCCATGTTTATAAAGTATGTTGAAGATACCAGTGCTAAGGAGCATTATTAATGATAAAATAAAGGAAATGGAAATTGCATACAGGCAGTCCCCGACTTACGCGGATCCGACTTATGTCGGATCCGCAGTTACGAACGGGGCTTTTCTCGCCCTGGAGGACACGGACTGCGGGACCTCGCGGTCCTGCCGCCCGTGTACTCCGGGGCGAGAAAAGCTGCTCCATGTCTCCTTTGTCTGCA